CAGACCTAGTAGGCAAGCGTAAGAAAACCTTTTATTATATCAAAAACACATCCATTTCACATCTCGCTGCTTATGCTTGCTTCGTTGAAGTTTGCTGGAGCTAGTTATTATCTGCCGGTCATTTCATGAACTTCATTGTAGTAATTATTGTGTTTTTATGATAATTAGTGTTATAATAAACCATATTTGTCTATTTAGTGCATAGCAAATTATAAAGTGTTTATTTTTTGTAGGCTTCATTAGCAGAAGTAGACAAGATCACATTAGAAATTGCCAAACTGCTAAAGGATGATTTCCTGCAGCAAAATAGGTGAGTGTGTGAAAGGATTTATTTAAATTGACTACGTGACGAATTTTCTATTATGGTCTATGGTAAATTTTGGTTGAAATTTTTTACATTTAGAAGTAAGTACTAACGCGACTAAATGTATCGTCCAATTCTTACCTGATAAGATTGGTTCCAAATAGTTAACAAGTGCCGCGGAGCGACAGCGCTCATCTCACGTGTACTGTGGCGTGACTCTGTGGTGGAGTGGTCGGATTTAGTAAAACCCTTTAGTCCAAAATGTGTTCACATACGCTGCCGAAACAGTGGAAGGCACAGGGATGGTATCAGGAACCTTCTCGAAGGAGGATGTTCGTTGGGATCGTTATGAAAGTTGCCACGCAGAGGCGCGTTACGTTTAAGTGTCTTAAGATTAAAGATGGAAGCTCCCATCGTAAGTAGTAGCAACAACTATTTCAAGACAGAATAGTAGCACTCATCCATTTACCTACGCAAGCCTACAGGCTGAAATAGAGAGCTGCCACCTGTAACTAATTAACGCAAGGCAAAAATACACAGTACTATCACCATCACACTGCACTGGCAGTGGCCACTGGCAGTGGCATAAGTTACATGTATACACACTGACAGTACAGAATGCATAGAAATTATACGATTAAGGAGCATAAAAACTCTTCAAACCAAATTTAGCTTTTGAAATTTCACTGTGACATTTAGCCTCATACATCCAGGCATGTAATATCTACTAGCAAACTTGGCAGCAAATTCTTTCTAACAGTAAACAAATCCATGTTTAACCCTCCTCTTGAGGGTCAAAAGGTTATCCGACACTTACTCTTCGATGTCCAGAGAAAGTACATTTCATGGGTCCTTTCAATAAAGCCATAAAAATGGTAGTCACCGCTGAAACAAAAAAGTTTTCCAATCGCTCCGTGCAGACCATGTCTCAGAAAATGCAAAAATCTGCCCTGTGCCCCATGACCCGTTGACCTGTGAACCTCCAATTTCGGCACAGTGATGCCTTTTCCTTCCAACTGATCCTATACACCGACTATCACGAAGCTAGGTCGAGCCGTTTAGATTTGTGCCGCAATTCTCATTTCCTCCCTATACCTTAGTTAAGGGGAATGTTCCCCCTTCTTTTACACCTCTTGACCTTTGACCTTTGACCCCCAGCTTTACATCCCAACTCGTTTTCGCTTACACCCCCCACTCCCGAATTATCGTGGACCGTACGTCGAGCGCTTAAGATTTGGCCCAACTATTGACGGACGGAGCAGCACGGACGGACGGGACCAATCAGTGCGATCTACAAGCTGCACCCGACTCTGTCAGATGAGCGCTAAAAATCCAAAAAAACTTGGATGATTTGATATTATGATCCTGACATTAATTGCTTGCTGGATGGCTATGGTATGAGTCACGAGTGTATGTTTACATTGAACAATATAGAGTACCGACAGTGTGACGCTCACTGTTATGGCAAGACAACGCTACGGGCTGCGTTTCTACAAAGCCACTGGCTCCATAAGTGTAGCCATAGGGTCAACTGTTGTGCGTACGTAAAACACGGAGTGTGTGCGCTGCAGACAGCGGTAAAGCATCGGTAGCAAGTCGTTCTTACAATATTTAATGAATTAAAAAAAAATTTAGAAAAAAAAAAATTTGTTTGATAAATTTTTTTTTTGTTAAATTTTTTTTTTTCCCCGTTGCTTTTCACTTCCATCCTTTGGAAATCTATAAAAACTGCAATAATGACTCTCAAATGCTGGTTACAATCGGGTACAAAACACGACACGCAGTTAATGTTACCAGAGCATATGATTGTGTAGAACCAGCGGGCTCGTGTCATGCCACCGTGACGTCATGCACTTGGTACTCTATAGTAAAATAGGAAGTATAATGCAGCAATTAACCATAAAAATGTTAAAGAATAACAGAATTACTTACATTTTGTGAAAAAGTGGAAATATTTTTTAAACTTACTATTTACGGTGATGTAATCACTAAGTTTTTCATAGTTTTCTTTTCGTTGTATTGCTGGCTATGTGGATGAGTTACATCACAAATGCTGCTAAAAGAAGAAAATCTGAGCAAGTATTCAATACATCTTTGAAATATAGTAAGTTGGAACGTATTGTAGATTTTAATTCTGTCTCCTTTACAGCTACTCCCCCTATGATCGTTTCTGCCCATTCTACAAGACTGCTGGTATGTTGAGCAACATCATCCTGTTCTATGACCTAGCAAGGCATGCAGTCGAATCTACAGCACAGTCTGAACACAAAGTTACATGGTCCATCATTAGAGAAGCAATGGGTGATATATTGTATCAACTCAGCTCTATGAAATTCAAGGTGAGTAGTTTTATGATGTCGGAGTAAAATAATGCAGCTTTCTATTCACATAAGGTCATTTCTTGCATTAAAAGTAAACTGTGTTATATGTGTTAATGCAATAAGTATTTTACTACATGTACACGGGCCACGTATACGGGACACACAGGCTATACCACTTGAAGCATTTGAGATTTTTATGTTTTCATTAACTTTTTTCAAGGACCCTGTAAAAGAAGGTGAAGCAAAAATCAAGGCAGATTTCGCAGAACTGGCTGAAAACATGCAAACGAGCTTCCGAAATCTTGAGGACTAGAATGAAGAAAGACAAAAGTAATGAATAATAATAAATAGGTCTGAAATGCTACTAAAACCAATGCACTTATGCTAGTAAAAGCCTTATCATAATGCATTGTGAGCAGTTTCAGTAGATATTCAAGGTCCGATGCTTAAACTGTTCAATTTGTGGTATTATACATACTACTGTACTATAGCAATAGTAGGTTTGTGTTGTAATCGCATGGCAATCTGAAGGTTATTTGCTAGTAAGTGATAGTAATTCATCCAGTGGTATCCAATTTATAGCATGTGACGACTAAAGGCATAACATCGTAAAATGAGGCCAGTGATTTTGTTATAGTGTGGTTAACATGTAATTTTCACTGTTCATTCGAAGCCAGTTCAGCAACGTACTTACTTCTATTAGTTAACCTGACACTGCCTGACCTAACTCAACACGGCATTGAAAGTATTAATCCAAAGCACGGGCCTGTCACAAGCAAAAATTGGCACCTGGATGTGATTAGGAATAGATAATAGGGGAAGGAGTGTGACTTCAATAAACAAGGGAAATTCGTCATTTACTAGCCTTAGAATACCTACGATTTACTACGCGTAACTCAACCAACTTGAGCTCATATCGTACACAGTACATTCGCCTAGCATCGTGCAAAATTGTTTCCTCGTATACACCCGCAATCCGGAGATACAGCCTAAACCGTACGACATGATTTTCCATTCTGTTGTTGCCAGCAAACTCGATATGTTAACCGTCTAACTCGAAACAAAAGGCAGCTGTAAATAGGTCAAAGGTTAGCTCAGCGAGCCACACCGCATTGCCGAGGGCGCAAGAGTCGTTAGTAGCTGCCTTTTGTTTCGAGTTAGGTGGTTAACACATCGAGTTTGCTGGCAACAGAATGGAAAATCGTGTCGTACGTTTTAGTCTGTATCTCCAGATTGCGGGTGTATACGAGGAAACGATTTCGCACAATGCTAGGCGAATGTACTGTGTACGATTTGAGCTCAAGTTGGTTGAGTTACGCGTAGTAAATCGTAGGTATTCTAAATCTAAGGCTAGTAAATGACGAATTTCCCTTTTTTATTGAAGTCACACTCCTTCCCTATTATCTACTTCTGATGTGATGTAACACTGTAACACATGTTTTACAAATGTTGCATGAATTCATCTGACTAATTCATGCAACAACACTAATGTTACCAATTATTTAAATAGCAAATGAGAAACAACTGAATTCAGGAAATCAAAACACATTCCCTCTCTATTTTATAATCCATGGATATAATGATGAGATTGTGTGAGGCTATAGGACATAGACCATATTTGGTGTTTGTAGCATTATAATTGGCATGCATTGCCAACTGCTGATTATGTACAAGGTAAAATGCAAACTTTACGTACACTTATATTCACAGGTGCTTAACACAAGTTAATGGTGCCAGTACTTATATATTATGATTGTTAATAAAAATACTTAAGTTATATAGTTTGTTAAAAGTTACTAAATCTTTGGTATGTACTGTGCTAGTGCCACAGACTATTAATTTTATACTCGTGAGAGTAGCCAATAGGTGCCTGTATATACATTATACAGTATACAAAAATATAGTTCTGGCACTTTCTACATCATTGGTTAGCATAATAATTATCTGTTATTTGTAAAGAGACAGTACAGATTTGACAGGCACACCTACTGAAAAGTTTCAGTGAATATAAGGCAAGTGTCTAAGAATTCTCATAAAACAGATGGTGAGTTTTAACACAAGTTAAAAGAGTTTAACATGTTCTCACAGCAAAATGTATAGATACTCCTACTGTGACTGTGAGCTCGTCTTATGTTGCAAAAATTCACATACAACTCATTTGTATTGCTACTTTCATAACATTTCCTCAGCAAACCTAAACAGTCTTACGAAACTAGTACAATTGAATGTTTACATCGTGTTTACACATCCAGGTCACAGCCGAGCGATCGCAGTTTTCATAACAGTTCATTAACAGTTCTTTTCTATAATAGAACAAGTTATAATTCATTATTCGATGTTTGTTCATTCAGTCAGTACAAAATTGTAAAATTTGTCTAAATCATATGTTATCTACATTACTTATGCAATCAGCAAACAAATAGGTATAGTGTTTTCTTTACAGCCACAGGAACAATTTGTGCTAACGTAGGCCTACTTCCTTAGTCACATCGCTCTATGTGTATATGTACGCCGAAACTCTGTCCGACAGAGATTTCAAAATAGTCAACTTTCGAGCACATTTCTGGCTCAATAACAACGTTTTGTGATGTTTGCATACTGCAAGTATGCTCACAGTAGGTGTATGTAGGCTTTTTGTTGTGAAGTTTATCCATTTAAATATTAGTAAGAGTAAAGTACGAGTTTAAAACAAATTTTAAGAACTGCAGGACTCGTGGCCAATTTTTGTCCCTTGTGTGCTACACCCTTCTTCCCAGCATGCCATGACCATTTGTGACACGCTAGCAGATAATGAAGTTAGAAAATCATTGGACCTCATTTTACCACCCATGCTATTCTTACGCGAATAGCATGATGGTACATTTAGAAAGAGGAAATAGTGCAGGTGCGGCATGCATAACACAATAGCAGCTAGTGCAGCATGCGGTGAGAATTACACTACACACTCTCTGCATAATGCGAGTAGCTGATGTATGAGATTTATTATATATAATATATATATTATTGCTGGCACAACTGTTGTTAACTTGCGTCAAGCATCTGTGCTTACAACTGGCTAGCATTGTAAACCATGTAACAATCCCTTTACTGTTATCATTTTGGTTTATACTCTGTTTTTTTTATTTTTGTGTTTGTGGGAATTACGTTATGTGTATAAAATTTTAGTAAATAGTTGAGTATGTGTGTGAAGGTACTTTAGGAATGATGTTGCAATATATGTAATGCATAAAAGGTAAACATGGAAGTTTTTGAAAAAGTGTTTATTGTACTGGGTTCAGAGCACCTGTAAGCCATAGTAGTATACCAGCAGAACCATGTTATGTAATATAATTTTGTGATGTAATTAAGTGACCAGTGTGCTTTTGCATAGCCTAAGTAAGGGAAGGTTGTCTGCCACATGGTGTGAAATATGCATGTGCTTCGAAATATGCACACAGTGCACAAAATGTAAAACCTCATGCTGAGAATTCAAAAAATTCATTTCAGTTATACAAATCCTATCTGCTTTACAGTTTGCTGGCATCGATACTATCTACAAATTACAATTGTTATAGCTTCCGGCTCCTTAGTATAAAAATAGTTGTAATATTTTGTTTATAATTTTTTTTCGGTGAAAGAAATATTGGATTAACGTGTTTACTGGAATTAGTGGGCAACGTTGTTATAGCATATAGTCATGTGTAAGGTGATTACGAAAATGAGGTATAGTTGGCATGATGAAACCCACCAAGAGCTAGTGCCACAGAATTTTGAATTCTACTAATTAAATTAATAAAGGTCTCAAAATGACAAAGTGCATCACTGAGTCTTATTAATTGTTGTGTCAGCTAGTATGCATGTGAAGCTTTCCAGCAGGTAGGAAACATGGTAATACTTACTATGCAGAAGGTTAACAGTATATATTTTTTATTCTGTGGTGTTCAGTATTCTGCTGTACCCATGCATATGGTACAAATTCTGAAACGATCTATATACTATCTAGATGGTGAAAGTAATCACAATTACTGTCAGGCCATATCAAATTGTTGTAGAAGAAAGTGATCATAACACAGAATGTGTTTTCAAAAATAGCATTCTCACAACCTTGTGTTAAATGAAGAAGGGTTGCAGGTGCTGCAGTCGGTTAGAAAAATTGTAGACTGTTGTTGTACTATGTAGGAAACCAGCAGAGAATATTGGTCTAAATCTTCTCACGGGTGGTAAAAGCTGTGGTAATGAAGTGTTAATCTGTATATTAGGAGTGGAGTGACAATAAACTGGATATAATAAAGTGTTAGCCAACAAAACTTTTGGTATATTTGTGTGTGCATGCGGGTATGCAGACAGAGGACTGCACTGGTGAACTACATCCTAGCAAAGTCACTATAAACCACCATACACGTGGTGCAATAATGCATTTGCTCACCCTCATATTGATGTGAAATCAAATATGCTACTGGCACGTGTACTGAGGCAACCCAGTTACTAATGCTGGAGTTAAAAGAAGGTAGGGCAAGTAGAAGAGGTAAATGAAGAATTTCAAGGAGCTAGAGGAGAGGGAAAACGCAGAGAAAGTACGAGTCGGAGGAAGTAGATGAGATAAAGGATTAGGTGTGGAGTTGAGTAACAGAAGTAAATTGTTGGGATACACCATAGATATATACAAAAACAGGCGCAAGGCAAGGATAGAAAAGCTGTCCACATTATTTTGCACATTTGCATGTCGCACATTGGGGACAGCTTAGCCTAGTACTATAGTATAGAGCTAGGGACAGCTCTTATATCCTTGAACCCAAAAACATATGCTTTTATATATCTATTCGGGCTATGCATACTCAGATGAACATTCAACAAATAATTTCGATTTATTTACATTCTTTCAATCTTTGTAATGACTTCTCATGTATTGCCTATTCAGGCTATTGTCGTATCGACGTGGATATTCGTCTGAGCATCGGACACCTGCTCGTATGCTCTATTCGTCCGAGCAGTTGTTGCGCATGCTCTGTTCATGTTGCATGCCGCAGGCGCATGGCACGAGTGCCGTAGGTAGGAAGTGTGAAGGCGTGAAAGGGGGGTCTGGGGTGTCTCCCCCCAGACAATTTTTAAATCTAGACTCTCTAAAATGCTATTTACCCTTTAGATTTTTGATCATTTTATGCCCTTTAGGCTGGGAGCCCGTAGCGTTTTGCTACGGCAGCCCTACGGCTGTGACGCCCCTGCATACATGCGTTGCGTATGTGGTTATACACCATAGATAGTGTTTGGTACTTACTATCACTCGCGTATATATACGAAACCGAGCGTATAATAACAGAACCGAGTCGGTTTATAGTTAGTGTTAGGGTTATAGGGCTGGTGTTAGGATTAGGGTTAGGGTTAGAGAGTATAGGCGTAACGTGGTTATAGGGTGTAGGCGCCTCCCTAGACTAGCATTATATTACATTTATGTAATACAACATGAACAGTGCATGCGCAACAACTGCTCGGACGAATAGCGCATACAGGTGTCCGATGCTCGGACGAATGTCCTTGTCGTATTGAGTATTGTATAGGTGGGGGCGGACAGCCGGGAACTTTGCCACATCCGGGACTTTCTTAACCTAGCAACCAGCTGTGCCGGTGAAAACAACAGCCTAGCCGTCTCCGTGAGCTTACACACGCAATACCTGATTTGCAAACCTAAAGCATATTAATTTCCTTTTATATATGCCGAAAACTTGTGTAGTAGTAGGTTGTCACAATCATATATATTGCACAGATAAGAAAAGATATTTTTTTGAGCTGCCAAAATGACATAAGAGTCTAGAGAGGCGTGATAAGTCATACGTGGCTGACTGCCACTTAAATGTAAATGAGTAAATGTAAATAGTACGCACTGGAGTCCGTCAAAATTCTCCACTATTTGTTCTGATCATTTCGTGACAGGTAACTACTATTTTATAACTGCGTGTGTGTGCATGTGTGCGTGTCACTGTGTGTGCGAGTGCATGTGCGTGCGTGCGTGTTTGTGTGTCCTTGTGTGTGCGTGTGTGTGCGTGTGCGTGTGAGTGTGTCACTGTGTGTGCGAGTGCGTGTGCGTGTTTGTGTGTCATCATGTGTGCGTGTGCGTGTGAGTGTGTCACTGTGTGTACGTGTACGTGTGCGTGTGCGTGTGCATATGCATGTGAGTGCGTGTGCGTGTTCGTGCATGACATGTGCGTGTGCGTGTGTGTCACTGCGTGTGCGTGTGCCTGGGCGTGTGCGTGCGAGCGTGCGTGTGCGCGCGTGCGTGTTTGTGTGTCCTGGTGTGTGCGCGTGTGCGTGTGCGTATGCGTATGCGTGCGCGCGCGCGTGCGTGCGTGCGTGCGTGTGTGTGTGCGTGTGAGTGTGTCACTGTGTGTGCTAGTGCGAGTGCGTGTGCGTGCGTCTGTGTGTGTGCGTGCGTGTGCGCGCGTGCGTGTTTGTGTCCTTGTGTGTGCGTGTGGGTCGTGGCGCAATGTGTAATCTGGACTTTTGCTTTGTTTCACGAGACCGGTAAGGTTTTATCAACTAATGCATAAGCAAACAAAAAGAAATAGCTAAAAAATAGTTTATATTTGCAGTGCATATTCATCTTACATAATGTCAGGATACAATGTCATTTTAAGCATCGTCAAGGCTACAGAAAGGCCTATTCTATATTACTTCGTAAGGCATATAAAGAAATTCATGAAAAAACTCCAAATCCAGTGACGGATAATTCGTTATTCGTATGCAGTAAAAACTATGGGCGCGCAGTTGACGCGATCGTGTTGTTTTCCCGCGCGTTGCTGCTGTGTCACGTGACTAGCTGATCTGTGACGTAGCTCCGCCAGCACCTATTGGTAATTGGATCTTGCATCATGCATGGAGCTAGCTCTAAGTATGGCCCGACCAGGCTGTGCGAACGGATTGTCTATACAATTGGGTATTCTAACCCACAATACCGTTTCGTTGAGCTAGCTCTAGTATTGGGCCCTGATGGAGGTCTATGTCCCCAGGGGTACTGCCCGGAGAAGTACCCTGGTGCGGTCCGTATACCAGAACGTAGCCAATGGCACTCCTTTGATATGTTAGGTTAGAATTAGGGTTAGCGCATAGGGTTAGGGTTAGGTTTGGGTTCCGGTTAGGAGTAACTTGAGTAGGCGTAGCGACCCCTAGACTCGTTAGTGAGTTAGTCAGGTACTGTACCCGGCATATTAGCTAGTACGCCGGGTAAACGTTCCGGCAGTACCCCGAAAAACATAGACCACTCTCAGCTCTCAGTACTATAGGCCTATAGGCCCCCCCGCCCGACCAGCCCCCCCCTTACCGCGGCTATAGCCTATAGTACTGCTGATAGGGTCTATTCCCCCAGGGTACTGCCGAACGTACCCTGGGTACGGTCGCGGGTATACCCGGAATCGTCCCTGGTAACTATCTAGCGATATGTTAGGGTACGGTTACGGGTTAGGGTTAGTGTAGGTATTAAAAAGTAAAAAATAAAATAAGTAAAGTTAGGGTTTAGGGTAGGGAGTAGCGTAGTCGACTCCTAGAACTCATTATGAGTAGGCGAGGTAACGGTCCGGCATATTAGAAGTAGTATTTAGTACCAAGGGTACGTTCCGGTATACCGACCCGTACCCAGGGTTACGTCCGGCGATACCTGGGGTCATAGACCCTATCAGCTAATAGTACTAGAGCTAGCATGGAGCCTACACAGTGCTTATACACACCAAGCCCGTTACACTCATTTCTCTTGTGTAGCTGTGCCGCGGTAGTATGCGTGCAGTTCCACTTTCTTGTTGCAGCGCGAAGGCTATACTTGTAAGTTGTATTTATATGACTTATTTATAGCAATCATTGATAAATATATCTACATGCATAGGGCGCCGCCATGTTCTATTGTACTGCGCCCTCTGGTGAAAGAAAATGCCGTAAAGGATGTTGTAAAGGTTCGTTTATTTCTGAGTTTGTTATCATTGGAAATTATAGTATCATATTATACTTATAGCATCAGACTTATAGCATTTCGTTACTATTATACCCAATATGGGGTACTTAATAGGGTCCAATCCTAGTTTAGCACACCGGATTAGTTTAGCACATTTGCGAGGTCCCAAACTAGGATTGAGCACATGTCCATGTTGTGCCCAAACTTGGAATCTTGCACACACTTGGAATTTCAGCGCATCCGCAGTTTGGGCAACCAATCTTGAGATTGGGCAAACAGAGGTAAACAGAGCTTGCACAAACATATGATTATTAGGATTTCAAATGTTATATCATAACTATAAGGTCGTATACCTTCTTTCCTCAATGTGTTTGGCACCTTTGTATAAATATTAATTTTTAAATGATTATAATAAATAATTGGATAAGATTTAATATGAGATAAATCTCTTCCTAGTTTGCACCACGCACACCACACACTCGCTATGAGCGGTTGTTGAATCACCGACTGTTTTCAGTTTGCCCAATCTTGAGATTGGTCAGCCAAACTAGGGAATCCGCAGTTTGGGCAGCACAATCGCTGCACAATCTCGAGATTGTGCAGATTCCAAGTTTGGGTACAACATCCACAGGCACTTGGTGGAGCGTTTCAATAAAAATAAAAATATAAATTATAATGCTAAGTAAATACGAAATCTGTTTACTACCAAAGTCTTAATGTTTTTCTACTCTCTTTTACCTATTATTACCGACAATTTTCTGTAAATGCCGTCCTGTAAACTCATCTGCAACACACTGTCACACGCTGGCCGCTACCCCGGGCCCCCCACTCAGTGTTATTTAGGTTACACATATGCTCGTTCCCTTCCTTTGAAAGCACCCCCCTATCTCAGGACTGCCAAAATTTCTGAACCCCCTTTTTGCGGGTTTTTCCTGTTTTGGAGACCCCCTAAATCCGAAATAATCCTGAATGAGCTTTCAAAACTAGCAGGAATTTGATCCCGGAATTTGATAACGTTTTCTATGATATTCAAGATGAAAGAGAGAGGAAAAACACCCTCTTTTTAAAGAAATCTCAGGGTGAAAAGTCAAATACACCTTTTTTACAATTCTTGGGCCGGATTTTGTCACGCGAAAAATACCCCTTTACCAGAGATTTTGGGAACGCGGGCATGCGGTCCCTCCGACCTCGGAGTGGGGGGCCCGGGGCCGCTACACGCTAGCTGCCGCACACTGACACATAAATATATATTTATGTGTCAGTGTGGCTGAAGGGGTTGTTGTCGTATAGGGTAGTACATATATGTATACATAAATGTAATATAATGCTAGTCTAGGGAGTCGCCTACGTCTACTCCCTAACCCTAACCCTAACCATATCACATAGTTACCTGTTGTACATATATGTAGTACCCTATACGACAACGACCCCTTCAACATCGGTGTGCAGCAGCTAGCGTGCGGTGTAGGCCTACTTGTGTGTTGCAGATGAGCAATTGACCGGCATTTACAGGTGATTATCTAGGCGAAATAGAGTAGAGAAACATTGAAACTTTGGTAGTAAATACATTTCGTGTTTATTTACCATTATATTTTTTTATATTGAGACATATTCCAAGTACCTGTGCGTATGTCATGCGATTCCCTGCTCACACAACTTACAAGCTATCATTGAATATTTAGCTAAGGATTCAAGCGACGTGTATCACACTCATGCAGTGACTCACTAGCAGTGCAACTGCTAACTATTTGTCCCAGCCGGAAGCTAGAAGTCTGCTTCTCGTCCTCCAGCTACGAGTCAGCAACCTTGAAGCCTGGAGTTATCACAAACTCCATCATCAGTCAAACACCTATCGCAGCAGTCTGTGTTTCAAGGAAACACTCTTTTGAAGCCTGGAGTTATCACAAACTCCATCATCAGTCAAACACCTATCGCAGCAGTCTGTGTTTCAAGGAAACACTCTCGGGGCCTACCCCCTTTCAGAGGAAAGTTTAATCCTAAACACACTGAGCAGCTGGCCGTTTTAATTGTAGCACTTCTCTTGGTAGCAGGCGACGTTGAATTAAACCCAGGACCCAAGAACGTCTCAATATTCCCTTGCGGGTACTGCGAGCGCGCAGTCACTTGGTCGCAGCGTACGATTTGCTGTGATGATTGTGATATTTGGTACCACAACACGTGCTTAAGTTACTGCTCATCCCACATACGTAGCTTGGAGAAATCGGACTTTTCTTGGATTTGTGCCAAGTGCGACAACCAAAATGTCGCATCATTTACATTTCATTTATATGAACTTGACCTATATAACCGCTTCAGTGTTCTTGGATCTGCTACCGATGCAAAGATTTTTGTGGCTTCAGCAGATCTTAGTTTCAACCCAATCTTGACTAGTTTGCCACGATCTGAGCAACCCTCCAGTCCCATTGGTACGCCTAGATCGAGAGACCGACACAATAGTACGTCTATTGATGATCACCCTTCTAGAGATACCCTTAGTAAAAAGGGCAACAACTGGAGAACTATGGTAGTTAATTGCGAGGGTATTAAAAGCAAAAAAGGCCCAGTTTGCTGTCGCAGTTGATTACGTCAAACCAGATGCTATCTTGGGTTGTAAATCAAAACTCAACAGCACAATTCACACGGCAGAAAAGTTCCCCCCCCCCCAGATTATAAGGTGTACAGAAAAGACAGAACACTCCACGGAGGCGGTGTCTTTATCGCAATTAAGTCCTGCTTTGTGAGTGAACAGCTTACAGAAGCCGATTCAGACGCCGAAGTCATTTGGGTCAAAGTAATTCTTGAAGGAGCTAAGTCCCTTGTCATAGGCAGCTTTTACAGGCCACCAGATGAAAAGGCCGACCAGTTGGAAGAACTGAACACCTCTCTAAACAAACTGCCTGCCAGATGCCAGGTTAAAACTATTCACCTAGGCGGTGATTTCAACACTGGCAACATCAACTGGCATACAAACTTTTACAGTTTATTAGATTTTTTTTCTGGGCCTGCAAACGGGGGGGGGGGGGCATACGCCGGCTCCGCCCTATGCTGGATACGCCACTGGTAGCAGTGACATACTAATAGTCGTAGTACTAGTACTAGTAACTGTAATAGTTAGCCTAGCTACATCCATCAAATTCATTGGCGCCGCTCATGGCACAATTTGCAGTAGTGGTACACACCTACTAACCTAGCTCAGTAGCTGTAGTTTTAACAGTATGAAAGTTGGGCATTTTGACACTAGCGATGTCTGATTAGGGTTTGTTATGCATATAGAGGCACAGTGGTGCACCACCATTGGCCAAACTGGCCATTATAGGCCTACCTGCTTTGTCTAATTTTCCCTCAGAAGAAATCCTGCTGTGACTACTATGGATTCCTATACTGTCACGTGGATTCCTAGGGCTATATTGGCCGAACTAGTGCAGACCTGCCTAATTTCCTGATGTCTAAAGTGCACATAGCAGTAAAGTGAATGTATAACCCTACATTGTGAAAACCCTTGAAAATAATTGATTAAAGAAATTCTAATCTTAGGTGATATAATTTCTATGAGCTTGACGATGAGTCAGTACTCAATTATATATAATGAACTTCAACCCACAAATCATGTTTATCGTATCACATTCTAAGCCATATTTTTTTTTTCATCTTATTTGCATATATGTAATCATAGTAATATAGGTGTATAATCTCTTGCCCTGCATAACAAAAAACAACTGGAAGTATTTATTTTAATGGTGTATTTCAAATGGCAGTGATCCTTTTAATATTGAAGAAACTTTGTCAGACATCCTTTAGAAAGTCCTTTGAATCATGACTGTTCTACTTTTACATTTTTTCTATATTGAGTTCTAAACGGTTGAGCTTGAATAGGGTATATATACACAAAATTGTATGGCCTTTTACCATTGTCTGTGTTTTACTGATTCTCTCTTCAGTGCTCTCCAATTAAATGTTGAGTGTTTCCCTTCGGCACTCATTCCCTTGGATATTGCGCCACATAGTGATGAAAGGACAAATGAGTTCCCGATCATTTTATGCAGGAAAAAAGTCAAAGAAACTAATTTAGCAGAGCACTGCCTTATGTAACAGGCCATATTATATGATTAGTGGTAATTAGATGAAATTGAGCCATGGATTAATGAGACCTGCATTTTTCTGCTTGGCACGATCCAGGACATGACACCTTTACTCAAATGCTTTCCATTAGGGGGATGGTATGATCTTTTTCACTGGCAGGTTGTCAGTAGCCATGTCACCAAACCATCTAGCCATGACTCCTTTACCCTAAGGATGAGTAGGGTTAGATATATAGGTATCATAAATTAAGAGAAAGTGTTTGCATGCCAATTATGTAAGGTAATAATATTGCCATCATTTTACCTTTAGTTAGTGCTTGTATAGTCAGTTTTCTGAAGCAGCAGTAGCGGCAGCATCTCAGTAGCAAAAACTGTAGTCGTGGTAGTTGTGGTGGTGGTGATGGTATTGATATCATAAGTATCAGGAGCTGTACATTTGAGAATCTGGTAATATACTAATGGTGAGGGTACAAAACCTCCAGTGAGAGGGGCATAGCAGAGTTCTAGCTGTTAGCTCCACTAGTAGCTGTGCACAATTACGCTATATAATTAAATATGGAAAACAATAATTAAAAGGAGGGTTTGAAATGTTCATATATATATATAATCTTTTCCCCTCATTTTCTGGTATTGATTTTTGAACAGTTTTATGTATTTTCCTGATAGCCCTACTTGGATCTGCTAGTGATAGTAGCAGCACAGTTATTTTAGCAATAGAAATAGTAGTAGCTGGAGCAGTAGTGATAGTAGCCATATAAGTAGACTAGTAGCTGTGGCAATAGTAACAGCAATAGTAGTAGTGGAAATTTTAGCAGAGGGTACTCATACTCATAGCATACATGTGTCTGGTTCATTATTCATTATAGTAACCGTCGTAGTAGTAGCAGTAGTAATAACTAGCAATAGTAGCCACCTAAATAGCAGTGGAAGATGTAGCTTATCTGTCACATGCAGGCCCGTCCCAAGCTTTTCAAAAAGGGAGGTGGCCCTGGAAGCTCAGGGGTTTTAGATGCTCTCTGGTGTAATCTGAAACTTACTTTGGAGCATTTTTGCACACAATCGATGACCAATGTTTCAGAAATAATTTCGAAAATATTGGCCCTACACTAACACTTGCGCAACGAATTGACTTGCCGGCTAAATAACTAATTTCCAGGGTAAACTCTGGAAAAAAAGGGGGGTGCAACCGCTCACACTGCACCCCCCACCCTTCGGACGGCCATGTATCAGTATTATTACACTGCATAACTGTGGCGACCGTAGATATTGGACTTCACTGATGCATATATACACGTTGTTATTCTTGTCTTGCTTGTGTGTAGATGGACATGGATGAGGATGACAACATCCTACCCGTACACACTCCTGTTTGCAATCCAGAAGGGCAGCAGGATGTGCTGGGTATATTTGATATGGGCGATGTGGGCCTGACCACAACACATTCACAGCCTTCATTCGGTATGTCACCTTTAGTCTCACGTTCTCTGTAGACAACAGAAGTAAATAATAAGGGAGTAAGACCTAATATAATAATTCCTTTTATTTACTCTAAATATGTTAGCCTATGTACATTGCAACAGTAAATGCCCCTAATCGACATAAAAATTCAATTGTATAAATACAAATTTATGTTCTGTAGAGAAAAATCTTTGAGATATCATGAACTACTGCTTAGAATAGCTATGAATTACATTTCCCATGTATACATATGCATCGATTTTTATAGTGGTGGTAGCATTAGTAGCATTATATAGTAGGTGTTTAGCATTTAATTGTTCGTCATATAAATTGAACAATTTTTGTGATGACCACTCTTCGTTCTACAGATGGTGGGAACTTTCACCTCAAGGTTCTGGTTCCCGCAATAGCAGCCGGCGCCATCATTGGGAAGGGAGGCGAAACCATCGCTCAGCTGCAACGGGAGACTGGAGCCAGAGTGAAAATGTCAAAAGCCAATGACTTCTATCCTGGTGAAAATGTGTTTCTGTAACTCTTACATAGCTGTTCTGTATACTTACTGTCACAACTATCGCAAAGATTCGTCTGCATTGGCTGACTTGTAGCTTGCACATGCACTGTAATTTAGAATGGATGCACCTACAATGCTTCTCACTGTCTGTCTTGGCATATTATTGGAGTTTAATTGCATGTTAGGACGGGTGGCTGTGCAGTGCATTCAGAATGCATGCGCTTGCAGCGCCCGTGACTGTTTTCATGTCTGTATTGTAGGATCATCGGAACGCGTGTGCCTAATCTCAGGTAATGCAGAGAACATCCTTCACACCCTCGACTTCGTAATGTTGAAGATTCTAGAGAAACCTGACCCAACGGCCAAGGCAGCGATTGACTATGATCACAAGTTTGCGGCACAGAGAGAGAAACAGGTGTAACTTGGTTTTATTTGTGGGGTGTATTGGTTGAAAAAACATAGACATTATGTTAATATCGTTAGAACAGGTATTGAACATCGCTAATGGTATTGGAATGCATTAGTTCTAGTATTTCATTGACAATAGCATCTGCAAATTTCTTTCGTTCATCTCAAATGAATTTTTTAGCCCAGAAATTTGAAATGTCACATCCCTTATGACTAAGGAGAGAAATGGCAATGCATTAAACATCGTTTTTAGCTCAGCTGACGAAGTCAGATGCAGCTTGTAGAATCGCATGAATGTCTGTCCGTCCGTCCGTCCGTCCGTCTGTTCCGTGTGTCAAACAGTTACGCACAAATCTTAACTGTCTCGACGTATGGTCTTGATATTCGGAGTGACGTCAGGGGGATTGTGAAAAGGACCCGGGATGTCGAATTTGAGGGTCAAAGGGTCAAAGGTCACAGACTGTGTTTAATGGAGGGTGAAATATTTCGCCCCTTAACTTAAGGTATAGGGGGAATATACGGAATTGCGGCACCAAATCTCAATGGCTTGACCTATTGCTGCTTAATATTCCGATGTATAGTGTGATGGGGAGGAAACCAATCACAAGGGGCGAAATTGGAAGCGTCAGCAGGTTTCGAAAGGGCAGTGGGAGAAAGGTCAGATACCAGACATTTTTCTGAAGACACCACCATGGTCTAACGGACCGAGTGGCAGAAACTTTTTTGTTTCAGCGCTGGACCTACCATTTTTAATCGACTTTATTGAAACGGACGCCATGAATGTCCTTTCCACTGATGTCGGCGAGGAGAGTAAGTGTCGTGATAACCGTTGTTGACCCTCAAGGAAAGAGGGTTATAACATGGATTTATTGGACTGTTTAACAAAGGACTGAACTGCTTTTGCTATAAAGCCCCTACCACCCGCCCTCACCTTCCCCCACCACCACCACTACGCTCGCGCTCGACCGCATATCCATGATAATCATGTTAATATAAGTTTACACAGCTGCTATCTTTCAGTACCTGTTCTAACCGGTATAGCAAAGTCTATCATAGATTTTAGATAACCCGTATTAGTAGTATCTAAGATAATATCTCTGAGCACGAATGTGGTGGCGTGTGGGCGCACTTGATTCGGTTGCCAGTGAGATTATCAGAAGAATACCCGGCTACGGTACACGTCAGTTGAACGCTGTTGCTCTGCGGCACTTGTTAAGCTTCCTTTCTCAGTTTTAATTCTCAGTTGACCCTTGTATATACGTTGTGACTGTATTGCTATAGGGGTGTGAAAGGTATGTCAAATAAGGTGGGTTCTGTTTGATTGGTAGGTCAAGGTGTTGGTACCAAACAGTACTGCTGGCATGATCATAGGCAAGGCTGGAGCCAATGTGAAGCATATCAAGGAAGAGAGTGGAGCCTACGTACAGATATCCCAGGTTTGGCTTCGATATTACTGTTGTTTAGAATGTTGACATTGACGTTGACATTTGACAGGGTAAACTGGGCAGTAGATAATGAGAAGGTCAGTCTTCCTCTCTCTCTCTCTCTCTCTCTTTCTCCTCCCCCCGTGCTTATGTATTGCCGTGTTATCATGCAGAGGGTGAAGGATGTGACAATTCACAAGTGCTGCAACTTCTCCTTTTGCTCCTTCTCCCCCTGTGACCCCTTCTCTCTCCTTGTCACTCCCCCTACCTCATTGTCCCCCCTTTCGCTCCCTCTCTCTCTCCCTACCTCTTTGTCCCCCTCTCTCCCTCTCTCTCTCCCTTTTCTCTCTCCCCTTCTCTCTCCCTCTCTCTCTCCCCTTTCTCTCTCCCCCTTCTCTCTCTCTCTCTCCCTCTCCCTACCTCCTTGTCCTCTCTCTCTTTCCCTCTCCCGATTTTTCTCTGTCTCTCGCTCTCTCTTTCTTCCTCTCCCTCCCTCTCTCCCTCTTTCTTTCCTCCCCCTTCTCTTTCCCCGTGCTCACGCTCTCTCGCCACGTACGTAATCCCGCAGAAGGCTAAGGACGTGACGCTGCCCGAGCGCTGCATCACCGTCATCGGCGACCTCGAGCAGAACCGCCGCGCCTGCGCGCTCATCCTCGACAAGATCGTCGGCGACTCGCAGAGCAGCAGCTGCACGAACCTCAGCTACGCCGACTTCTCCGGACCCGTCGCCAACTGCAACCCGACCGGCTCACCGTTCGCACGATCCCCGTCCGCGGGGGCGCCACCGTCGGGCGGCCCCACGCTGAACAGCGGCGGCGGCGGCGGCGGCGGGTCGGCGCTGTTCGAGAACATGCAGGCGCTGCTGCGCAAGTGCGGCTTCTCGGAGCAGGCGACGGCCGAGATCACGGTGGCGATGAACACACTGGCGAGCTACGGCCTGCTGAGCGTCGGCCTCGGCGGGCTGCAGGCGCTCGCGCCGCACGCTGGCCCCGCGACGCACCCGGCCCTCCAGGGCCTCGTCGGGCTCGGCGCCGGCCTCCTGCAGGGTAAACCTCCCGGTGGTGGCGCCGGCGCAGGCGGTCTCGGGTACACGGGCGCTGCGGCTGCTGCGGCCACCGCCTACGGGCCGGTCGGAAGTCCAGGCAGCAGTGGGCAGAGCGCGGGGGGAGGCATGGCTCAGGCTGATCGTCATCATCATCATCAGCAGCAGCAGCAGCAGCAGCAGCAGCAGTTCGACGCTGCGCTGACCGAGTTCCAGGAGAACGTGAGAATGTCGCCGTCCTCTAGTCCATGCTACGCCAGCAACTCGTTTGGCCTGAGAGCCGGATCGCCGCTCGAGATCACAACTGATCAGGTATTGATTGATCTAATCTTAATGTACAATAATGTGTGTGCATGCATGTGTGTGTGCATTTATATATATATATATATAGCTATATTACCCGTCATTCAGACGGGTTTGAGTGGGATCTGTTTTGAGGATGGTGGTTTAACCATTTATCTCTCACTTTTGTTTGAGGATGTATTTACAGTAAACGAAAAATACTGATATTTAGACCCGAGTCATATATCAATATTTGTTTAAAAAAAGTTGTACTGTTGTAGCTAAATATATATAAAATCGGAAATTTTACCTTAACACAATTTCAAAAGGTTATGGCATGTGTCTAAAAATGTGAGAGCATTGGGAGCCGGGTAAGCGCGGGCACGGTTACACCTCCCGTTGTCAAATATTTGCACACACACACCACACACACGCACGCACGCACGCACACCGTATTCACACACATACGGGTATGCGCACGCACAATCACATGCGCACCCACGCACACACATACCACATTTACACACACAAGGGCGCGCACACACATACACTCACGCGCACGCACACGCACACACACACACACACACGCACACAACTGCAGCCGTCTCTCGTTGGGGTTTGTCTTAAATTTTTGCCTCACAGCTGTGCGCGGCAGTGCTTGGTTGTTTATACACCGCAGCCGCAATGGCTTTGGTGTGTGCGCGTGCGGGTGTGCGAGCGTGCATGCGTTCGTGCGTGCGTTTAGTGTGGCTTGCTATGCTAGGTGAGAGGCACGTGAATTGGTGAGGCACGGATTGGATTGCGCATGCGGATTTGGCGATCTTAACATTTGGTGCGGGTTTCCGATGAATGCCGAAGGTTCTTTGGGCACATAACCTTTTAGAAAATTGCCTCCAAAAGTCACTTTATGATCGAAATATCGTGTTCTAACATAGCGGAATGTATTCGGGGCGTCCAGAATTAGCCCCAGCTCGATTTGCGTGAGAATACGTGGCACGGTTTCGAAGGAGATACGGAAAACGACACTTCGGCTCTTTCTACTATTATAATATAGATGTATGTATATATGTAGTCAAACCTATATTAACGATCATTTTTGCAAAAAAAATACCAATGGTAACAATGAGGTTACTTGCCACATAGCAATATTAGGAGTAATAAATAATATACACGTGGGTACGTAATTTAAATCGATGAACAATCGACATGAATTTCATTCATGCGTATCAAGTGTAATTGCTCAGCCGATTACTACTAAACGTTTTCTGTAATCTTTCGCAGGAAGATGTTAGCACTGTAGCTCTCGAAGTGAACGAAAACATTGTCGGAGCGATCCTTGGCCATGGTGGGCGTTCTCTATTGGAGATCCAGCAGCGCAGCGGCGCCACCATCCAGATCAGCAAGAAAGGCGTCTACGCGCCCGGCACACTCAATAGGTTGGTGACGATTACCGGTTCGCCCGCTGCCCTACAGGTGGCGCAACTTATGATCCAGCAACACATAAGCCAGGAGGAGACTAGGCGGCAGCACCAGAACACGGTGCCTGTCGGTCGTTAGCACTACCCACGTGTCACGCGAGTGCACATGTGTGTCGTCGTCATTACCCTCCACACAGCTTCCGCCTGTTGGTCGTTAGCACCTGCTTGCATCACCTGTAGACATTTTGCGTCGTTTTTCGCACTGCTGATATTCATGTGTCGACGCGTTTGTTGAGCGACACGAGAGAAAGACTGGCGGTGTAGTTGCAGCTGCGGCCGATGTGACTGCACTAGGAATTTGGTTGTGTTAGTGATGTATGAGTGCGGATGAGCAGTAACTACTGGGCAACAGCTGCGTGCGAAAGCCACCAGCGCGCTAATAGACAGGCAAGCCGGTGAGTGCTTGTGGGTCCGTGCTAATATTGTAAAATTGATTACTTCTTTCACAACCTGCCACAGAAGTCCTCTTTTATCACCTATGAAGGTCACCTCTGTGGCATCACCTCTGAAGGCACATGGTTTAGCATGAGGTGTGTGCGTGTGTGTGTCTGTGCGTGGGCACGTACGTGTGGTCATTTTGTGATTGGTCTTAAAAGAGGAGGAAGAGTGCAGACTTGAACTATGACTGATTGTGGTTGCATGAGTTCGTCTTTGGTTAGGATCACAAGGTGGCTCACTGAAAGTGATTTTATTAGCATTGTCTCATGCGTTTGTGAAAATGGGCATCCAAGATGCTATGTACAGGCATGAACATGTCTATCTTGCCTTAATAACTAATGTTGGATAGATATATTTGTCATCCAGTACAGGTTATGTACAGTACTGCAACAGTTTCTTGCAATTGCTACTGCACTTACGGTGTGTGAATTTAAATAACTGTTTGATATGTGATTTGCCTTCTTTGAGTGTTTGTAATGGAGAGGTAAACAGAATGTGATTAGATAAATTTTTAATATGTGAATATAGATATGGCCCGTGGAATATTTTGACAGATATTTGCAAATGCAGATTAAATCATCAGCATATTTAGTATACCGAGTTTTAATATGGACATTATATCAGCAATAGCAGCAATGGGTAAAACTGGTATATATATATATATATATATGACACATAGGAGTATGTCTGGCCTAGTAGCACCTTTATTGTTATTGGTGTACATATGCCATGCACCTAGTGGTAAAGTTAGAACAATACCTTTCTGCATGACCTGCATGGGTGTGCGATAATGTAATCATGTACAGCTCACAGGGGTACACCGTTTTGCCAAAGTCATTGTCATCGTTCTGTAAGTAACTGCCTAATAAAACTTATTCACTCTTGTTTACACACACGTGTGTACATTTGTGTATGTATGTATGTATATATATATATATATATATATATAGTATGTATGTATGTATGTATATATATATATATATATATATAATATATACATGCGCATGCCTATACACACAAGTCATGTCATCATATTCACTCTAGTATATATACATAATATATGTTATTATTGTTATACAAGTCCTTGTTATGTGTACATTTACACAGTATGTCGTATTAATGGTAATTAATTGTAGGTGATATTTTTGCTGGGCAGTTAGTGAAATAAATGCTATTTATTAAATAATGTGCCAGTAGCTTACAGGGTGTAATACCGTGATTTAATACACCTAGGCTATCGTCCGAAAGCCGTATAATGCTATATATTGCTATATACACCTAAAGCTAAAAACTTCATTTTAAATTTGATTGAAGTGTAGTAGCACTAAAAGTTTCTATGATCAAAAGTCTAACAGCAGGGAAAGTGTTACCGGTACCAAGTTATGTTGCTGTTTGTTTGGTTTCTTTGGTTATTCTGAGAATGTGAGAATGCATCAATAGAATTTATAATTATCTGTATAGGCTGTTGATATGTCTTCTTGACTAGGTGGAAAATGCATATCATGCAAACACTGCACTTATTCCTTGTACGTGCAGTACCAAGGGTCTTTTGGAACAAGCCAAATGTGTGCACATCACCATAGTGTGTATAATATATAATATATATATAATATATATATATATATATATATATATATATATACACTAATATATAAATATATATATCCCACCTTATCTAGAACGAGAATAACGACAGAATACACAGAAGATGGTCATTCTTTTGTTAGGTGGTGTTCGCGTGTTAGGAATTGAATGTTGCGCGCATGTAACAGCGGCTGTACTGTGTTACACTTGGTGCTGGGTGGCAAACCGCTCGTTAGACTTTGCAAGAAATCAAACTCGGAAATGTGATTGAGTGATATTAAATAGGCACTGGTAGGATTGTCACGCAATTATGTAGATACAGTTCTTGTGATTAAAAGGGATAGGAGATAAAAAGAGGAGCACAGGGGCGGGATAGGCAAGATGTTCGTCTTAACGTATCATGGAATATGATTAGTGATAAATACTTATTTATCAGGCTAATTCTAATTAATTTCGAGGTTACTATTAACATATTGCCTACTTTGCGAAGTAACTCCATCTGGAGATCTCATGATGTAGTTATTCCATAAGTTGTGTATGGTCCGGCCTAGCTGGTCTCCTTTGGGGTAAATTTTATAATAGCAATTATCTCTGATGAAAATTTGTATTGAATTAGCAAAGGATTGTGTATGTCATTTCATATCGTTGAACTTATGGTGATTATAGGTTTTTGGTTTTTGCTGGCCTAATATGGTGCGGTCGAGTGACCGCGATGTGGTGTCTTTTAGGTCTGTCCGTCCTACCGTCGTGACCCATGCTGTTACTCTGCAGTTTTGTTGTTGAAATTGGTGCTGGAAATTTTGTACGATCTGGGGAAATTTTGTTGCCATAATAAGTTACTGTCGTCTGTGATTAGCGAAGCGGAGTTCTTTTCGTAGAAAATCGAAAATCTTCTTTGAAACAACTTAGAGGATTGAGATGAAATTTGATCTAAGCGGAACGTCCAATTTTATATATGGAATGGATAACTTTCAGTTTCAAATCCGACGCTCGACTAAATTTGTTTGGTTCAGCTAACCAATAGATAGGTAGATACGCTCAGATCTACCAATTCTGTTTTAAATACTCAACACCATGTATTATTAATGTTATTAGCTGTAAAACTGCAGCTTTCTTAAATACCCTCTGATCGCTTTTACCTGGCGTACATGATTTCCCTGGCTACAGTTGACATTGTCTTATCCTATATCAACAACTCACGAATATCTTTCTCTACCTCACATCTGTGACACGCTCGCGACACATCATGTATTGCATAGTATGATCACTTTTCCTATCAGCCCTCGTGCAGTGCATACTATAGCTACGTGTTATATTAACGAACCGCCCCTTGCTCCCTTACACGCCAGATATTTTCCAATGTATAGCACGTTTCCTCCAACGATGTTTCGGAAAATAACTTTGCTAGTTACTATTTCCCGGTTATAAGTGAATTACCAGGTGCACTGGGTTTATTTTCCTGTTATGCGTATTTGTTGTCACTGCGTTTCACAGTTGAGTTACGTTTATTAAAGGTTGTGTTAGTTAAAACTAACAATAAATTTCGATTGACTTGAACTTGTTTTTGTACGGGAAATGTTACGTTGGTTCGTGAAGGTTCTCTAAACCAACTTGGAGTCTAATTGCATGTTGCTGAGCTGTGGGATTAAGCCCTCCCCCACCACCCGAGCTGCAATTCCACTGCTTGGTTACATGTGAAAACGCACACTCGCGTCCGAAGCAAATTCGCACGCTCGCTCACGCACTCACCAACTCTCATAGACACACATCTCCCTACTATCCACGATGCAGCCACGCACGCACGCACGCACGCACGCACGCACGCACGCACAGCCATCTCCATTAGCCGCCCAACCACAGACAAGGCTACAACACCCCACTCGCCTACACAACATTAACTTGCGCCCTGCACACAGACTCATGCACTCATATTCCTCGTGAGTTGCCGCATTTTACGTGCCAATGGAAATGCGATGGTTAACGCCAACTGGATAAATGTTGATAAAAACATTTATTCTCTAAAACCTCCTACAAAAGGTATGTATTTATTACTTCATAACAATATTTAAAATCAATGAAAAATACACGATTACGTTTCTATAAATGCACAACGGACAGTGCAACAAGAATAACACACACGTAGCCATCAGCTACATCGTCTTAACCAAATTATTACAGTCACACAACAATTCTACTCACTGTTGGACGCACTCTAAAATTGCAGGTTGTCTGCATGCAACACTAATAACATCCCAGACAGTCCAGCGTAGCTAATGCACAACATGCACACCGAATGCCCATCTTAGTTCATTAAAACACACGCACGTATTGGCCCACCCCTCTTCTTTTCCACCGGCTGAAAACAACTACACCTGAAATGTTCAAGTACAATTGTTTTCCTCATTGTTGTATATTATGCACTGCTATAGCGGTTGGGACCATGTGCTTCTCCAAGAGCAGCTAGACCAAACAAGGATGGCCGATATTTTTTTAAGTGGTTAGAATTCATAACAAGGTCATACTGTCAGCATCGGTGATTTCAAGCCACGAACATTCTAAACCATCAAGTGATTAGATATGACATCGTCAGGAAATTAAAAAGCATGATGGCGTACAAGACGCGTGTACACGCACACTCATTGCAGGGGCGGATCCAGAGGGTTTGGGTGACCAGTTTCCATATGTTCTTCTGCACCTAGGGGGGTCCGGGGAATTTTTTAAAGATTAGGCTATATTTGGTGCATTCTGGTGAATTTTGAGGCCTGTGACCTGTTTCTGGAAACCGGTGCAAACCGGCCTAAATCTGCGCCTGCATTGCTGTCTGCTGCAGCTGTATATGTCTGTAGATATAAAGCATACACGCCAACTATAATTTATAAACATAGTCAAACCTGTATGTAATGATACTTAATATATAAGGAAAACACCTATATAGTATCAGGAGTCTATCAATATTTATAGACTCCTGACAGTATCCCTTATAGACAGGTGGCTTTTCTAAATAGATGGTTTCAATGCATTACTACTCCTCAGGGGAAAATGCCAAACATGTCCTTTATAAACAGGAGTTCATTCTATAGAAGTGTCTGGCAACACAACTCTACACATATCAACAACATCAGTTCCACCAACTGTACGCATTTTCATCAGATTGCACCGTGAATAATTGTAACTAAAATAAACATAGATAATGTAATTAAATTCAGCAATGCCAGCCAACGCAGGATGCTTACAAAGATTTATAATAACAAAATATAACAAGCCCCCATCATTCTGCACGTGGCCTTGGTAAGAAACTTCCGGCTTTAATATTTAGTATATGTTAATAAAAAATAATACATCTCACTTCTCATGAACAGCAGATAGCATCTTACTTGGTAAATAAAAATTTGTGTTAAATAGTAAGAATATGATTTTGAGTGCAAGGTGTGTTGCACAACTTGTGCTAGGTTCATAATAACACACAACTACGGTCAATTCATATTTGTAACTGTAGGTCAAAGTCCTTTACTCTAAATACAATATTATAATAATAATATTAATAATAACCTTTACAAGATTACTGCTTCTGCTAATACAAAGATTACCAGTGGCCCCATCTGATTGAAACAACACCCTTCCCCATCTCGACACGATCATATAACCTTAATACAAGGTGTGATAAATAAACTGTACAATTATTTTTTGTATAGTAGGTAGTTCCTTGATCTGTGAAGATTTTTGCCGATACTCGACGAGTCGAGATGCCGGCTGGATGCCCGGATGCATGCGCCGCTACAAATCTTTGGTGGGTGCGTGCGGCGTGTCGTGTGAGCCCCGTCTTCGAGGACGGGCCCCTGTGGGGTGGAGACAGTGAGACTCGGTCGACTGTTCCAGAGACGAGTCTTGCTCGGGGACAATGGAAGCCTCAGCGTGGTTCGATGACTCTGCAAGAACGGGTAACGATTGAAGAAGGGCTACTGTCAGTTGTGCACACGTCGTATCACCAAGTGCGCATACGCACAGGCATTCTTAAGCTGCAGGAAATCGGGTTCCATCACGAAAATATTACCTTCAGCACAAGGACTCGATGGAGGTGTTCGTTTTAATCGTTTCATATCCGTCTGATTTCCCGCGTGCCTGAAATATAAATGATCCGACAGAATTGTATTGGTGCGGAAAACTCCCGCGCATTCAATTGACATGTTGAAGACGAATGTAGATAGGAACTATTTGTAAATTTTATGCAAAGTACAGAAATTAGAAAACAGCTAGCTAAATAGAAAATATTGGTGAGAGGAGAGCTGTACCTTGACTTGATGAGAATGCCCGATTTTTTCATTGCACATTCTGCAGTGGCCTCTAGTGAGTACACTGTAGGATACTGCGCCACCTGTTGAATGGAAAATGAAACATTTTAAATTATACAAAATAATTACAAGTTAACGATCTGTGCAAAGAAAAGTGCACAGGTGATGTATGCACACAAGTTTGCACACACACACACGCACGCACGCACGCACTCACTCAGGCAGACAAGGACACATTGCTGCCTATAGAGGTGAGTTAGATTTCTTCAAAATTACACTCACATATTTTCGTTCCATCTTGTTTCCTGGTCTAACTCGAACTCTGCAAATACATTGAATATTTGCATATATTCACATTTGTTTATATCGCACATATATTGCAAGAACAATGCCTTTAAACCTTTTTGGCTCAGTAGTCACTTTTAGTCTATAATAGCTATATTTTTCTAACACAATATGCCATTTGTATTAATTTAAATATGATGGCTGGTTTTGAAGTGATAAATTATCCCACATTACACAATCTGTACTGCTGCCACCTTGATGGCAACTTCTGAAAATTATGCTTTCTATCCACATTGTAAGTCTTGTGTCCATTACTTACTGGTGTAAGGGAATTTATACAAGAATTACTGTCAGTGACACTACAAAACTATCATAGTTTTAGTGCAGTTTTAAATGGAAGATTTTTCAATTGACACAAGGCAGTATGGCCACTCAGGTTATGAACGCATGACTGAGTGGTAAAGTGGTACTCACTCAGCTTGAGTGGGGTCCATCAGTACTTGACATATGCGGTCACTGGTTGCTGCCCACATCGGCAGGGTATGCAACGACCTCTGCAATGAAAACATTTATACGTCAGTTCAAAGTTTGCTTCACAAAAGTAGATTTATTATGGCAACCTTCCCAATATTCTGCTTACCTTTAGAGCAGCATAAATGTATAATTCAAAAATTTTCTGTAATGTGATAATCATAAGTGTGGAGGCCACCTGTTTTGCAAGTTAATGACAAAACAGGCACACACTTATCAGTAGCCATTGAAAACTAATATTTATTATACACATATGCATGTGAGTATCCGAGTGTGTACGTGCGTGCATGTTCATGTTTGCGTGCATGCGCGTATATATATATATATATATACACATATATGAACAGTAGTAGCACTCACACGATCTCTTAACCGCCGTCGCCCCGATCGCATCTCTCTGCTGGCCTGTTGACATACAGAAACACTTAATTTACTAATACTTACAATGTCAATGATTTTCACAAAATATGCACCAAAAATAACTTGCATTTTACACAATTCAAAAGAGAACCTCACTTGTGCTTTACTCTGTTGTAGCGACTGATACACTTTAAAATACACACGCCACAAGTTTAAATGATAATA